CCAGATCTCAGAGTTGCGGGTTACCCTTCTCAGGATATCCTTCCACCCAAGTACCAGGAAGGCCAACAACAACAATAATAATATACTCTAACTGAGGAGGAAGAAAAAGGGATATCTCCTTGCTCCCAACAAGAAGGAAAGAAAAGGGATCTATGATGCTGAGGTTTGGAGAAGGCACAGGCACACCAGGAACCTAGAGCAGGGGCTGTAGCACACTGAAGGTCCTGGCAAGAGATGCTTGCAGAGAACCAGTAAACTGACGGCCGGCACTTCCACAATGAGCCCCCATACATACGGTACCTGGGGCCTAGTTCTGAGTCCTCTTCTGGATAATCAAGTGCAGTTTCTTGTTGTCACTGCAGTAGTCTATACAAAGATGACTCCAAAGTTTACACTCCAGATCACACTTACCAATCCAACTATGTCAAATACGTCTTAAACTGATACATGTAATTTAATTCAAATAAAATTGTCAACACAGGCTTGATAATCATGTCAAAGAGGATGATGATGATGATGATATGTAAGAAAGGAAGAAAAACTCAACAGTTCTGAAAAAAAATAACTAATGGGATTTAGTACTAGCTTAGTAAGAACAAACAAATCGGTAAATAGAGAGCTATAAGCCACACTTTATAGTTTTGTTTTGCTTTGCTTTGTTTGATACATGGTCTCTCATCGATGTAGCTCTGGCTGTCCTGGAATTCACTATATAAACCAGGCTGGCCTTGAACTTACAGAGATATCCCTGGGCCTGGTCTGGGCTTTTGAAAGCCTTGAAGCCGGTTCCAGGGACACACCTCCTCCAACAAGGACACCCCTCCTAATCCTTTTCAAACAGTTCCACTGACTGGGAACCAATCATTCAAACATATGAGCTTTTGAGGACCATTCTCATTCAAACTACAAAAAATGGAGTAAAAACAAAACAATGAACTAAAGAAAATATCATTTGAGTACAACTCTTGACTAAATCCTACGGATAACTATAATTTTGGAGGGAAAAAACATAAACATTAAAATCTAAACCTTCTGTCCATCATAAAACAGGTAAAGAATAAGGAGGAAGAAACAGACTTAGAATCTTTTTTATTTACCTATATGCACCTATATATGTATGATATATGAAAAAAGATTTCATTCACAATGGGAAAATGTTGGCTGAGAATGTACTCCAGTTGACAGAGTGCCTGCCTCAACTATTTGATCCCCATAATTCTATAAAACTGGACATGGTGGTTTGCAATTGTATTTCTAGCACTGGGAAAATATAGGCAAGGAGGATCAGAAGTTCAAGGCCATCTTCAGCTATATGACCAGTCCAAGGCCGGCCTGGAATACAGAAACCCTGATTCTAAACTAACAACCAACCAACCAATTAAGCAACAACAACAACAGCTAAATGAAAAGAAATTACAAGAAAATAGACCTACACCAAAGAAAGATGATTAAGAGTTCACTGAATAAAAATAAATAAATAAATGAATGAATTAAAAAAACAAACAAACAGAAAACAGGCATATAATGACGAACTAGTTAAATTTAGAAATCTTATGGAACAGAATCAAATGGATATGAAACATATTTTCTGGAATTCTAACTTCTTGAAGAGAGTAAAATTGTATTTATAGACTTCTGTGAGAAAAAAAGTGACAAAAGAATTAGAATTATATGCCAAACCAAAGAATGCTTGGAGTATAATGTCACAACAAAGATTCTCAGACTTGGAAAGACCCTGAGGGTACATTACCCTTCCTAAAACACACACTGATGGAAATACCTGGACCAGAGAGAAGGGCAGTGTACGAGGTACAGCAGTGGGCCAAATGTACACAGCTGTTGATATCGAGGGCTGCTTTTTCTCCTCCAGCACTGAGGACTGAACACAGGGGCCTGAGCGTGTGAGGCACTCCATCACTCACCTATATTCCCAGTTCACTGTGAGGTTTAGTTACATTAAAACAAAGGTAATTAGATATCCAGAGTGCTCGCCCTGGAAAATCTACTGTGGACTCTTTTTTTCTTCCTTTCTTCCCATATTCAACATTTCATGACTCTCCCCCTAGCTGTTTGTCCTTTTCCCAGAGAATTCCGTTAAGTTCAACTACTTATCCATGAGCGTTTTCAGTGATATTAACTTAATAAGTATTAACTTGGAGAGTTTAATTGTTGTAATCTTTTGGTTAACTCTTCCAAGAAATCTTTGTTGTTTTGAGATTGCTTCTTTTGCAAAGCAAACTATCCCTGTTTAATTAACAGACTCTCCCCTGAATTTTAATGATAATGTGAAGTAAAAAAACAAAACAAAACAAAACAAAAAACATGCTGTCCTTTTATATTAACTTTTGGTAGAAGTCTCTGCTTTGAATTATGATTCTATTCATAATGTCTGACCATGTCTCATTTTCAGCTTATAATTATAACCAGAAGTCTAGACTGGCATCATGTAATGACTTTCTGCATGTTCTCTTTTCTCCTGGGATGCCAGCCTCAGGTACCTAATGAGTATTAGAAATGTGGCTAGACTTGGTGGTGCACTCCCGTCACCCCAGCACTCAGGGGGGCAGAGGCAGGTGGATCCCTGTGAGTTTGAGGCCAGCTTGGTCTACAAAGTAAGTTCAGGACAACCAAGGCTACACAGAGAAACCCTGTCTCAAAAAAAAAACAAAACCCAAAAACAAAACAAAAAACAAACAAACAAACAAAAAAAAGAAATGTGGCTAGTGCAACTGCAGGACCAACTTGACAATTCCATTTCTTTTAATCAATTTAAATAGAGATGTGAAAAGCCACATGTGGCAGATGGCTACTGTACTGTACAGTCTAGTTCTGATTCTTCTGTGTTCATGATGTGCTCTTGCAGCAAATGTGTGGTCACCACTGCGCTTTTTAGCCAGATCCTTCCTTCTCCTGTCTATTGAGCTCCAAGGGAGAGAAAAAAAAGATGGCTGTTGGGGAGACAGCTGTGTAGTAACTCCTAAACTGTACTGTGGGATAAGGCCAGTGGGTAGAAACTTCGCTTCAGCAAGCCTTGATAGAAAGGTATCTGTCTGTACTTGGCTCTCTCACCCTCTACACTGCCCTACAGGCACCAGCACACAGACATAAGGAGAGATGGAGGGTTGGGGAGGTATGCAAGAGAATGGTACCCAGGACCAACCCACAAAGGGCAACTCTTTCCTGCATCTTTTTCCCCGCCCTGGATTCAAGAGTAGAGATTCTCTCAGAATGAGACATCATTGTTCCTAACAGTGGTTGCAGTGTCCCAGCAGGAAATTAAGTGACAGAGGAAAGGTGTCAAGTAGATATACTTGTTCCTTGCTGTGGTCCACTTTGATGGCTAAAATGATGAGGGCATTTAAAAACAGCTCAAAATTCAACAACTGGTGCCCTCATAGGACAGGTAGATAAAGATAGAAAGGCCACAGCAGCAGAGACTGGAGAGATGCAGCTACAACCAACGCCCGCCGTGGGTAGGGGGTTAGGGCTGCCAGCAAACACCGGAAGCCAGGAACCCGCAAGAAGGGTACCTTTCCTAGAGGCTTCTGAGGAGTCATGACGCTGTGACACCTTGACTTCAGACTTCCAGAACTGCGAGAAAATCCCTGAGTTCGAGCTGCCTAGTTTACGGCGCCTTACTACTGTGATAGCAGTTCTGGAAAGTCAATGAGCACAGTATTGCTCCCTGAAACAGAAATGGCCGCGGCAGCTGTTCTCACACACAGGAAAAGTACCACACTCTGTCCTATGGCTGAATGAAAGCGTACAGATTCATATCCTGGTCTCATCTGAGGTAGATTTTGCAAGAGTACACTTTAACAGCATCTTAGCTTGGGGGCATGGTTATAAGGTACAACAACCTTTTAAAAATGCTAGTGTTTGTGGGAGTCTGTGGTGGAGGTAGAGACTCAAGGGAGAAGGGGAAGGGTTCCATTACTGAATCTTAATTTCCAACCAAGAGAAGACCCATGCAACCTGAGCCAACGGGATACTGCGGCGTCCCAGAGCCACGAAGACCACACTCACCACCTAGTTACTCATTTTACTACTGTTTGTGATCTTTAGTCTTTTGACTAAAAGTGGCCTTTATCAACTATTGAGAAGACAAGCCACTGGCTCCCCCAATTTTCTCCTGTGCAAAGCGCTTGCCCTAAAGAGAGATGGATTTTTATTCTCTGCGTCTGCAAGTGCAAAAATCCCAAACTCTGATGGCCTGAATTTTATCTGTTCTCCTCTGTTGAGCTCCCTGATACAGCCCCTATGGCTGGATAATTTCCACAGAAAAAGATGGAAGGTCACACAAGGAGCAACTCTTCTTCCATAAAGAAGTGACTTCACCTTTTTCACATCACTAAATTTTGCTTAAAATGCTAAAATAGGCTAGGCCGTAGTGGCACAAACCTTTGATCTCAGCACTTAGGAAGCAGAGGCAGGTGGATCTCTGAGTTTGAGGCCAGCCTGATCTATAGAGTGGGTTCCAGGCCAGGGCTACACAGAGAAAACCTGTCTCAAAAAGAAAAAGGAAAAAAAAAAAAAAAAAAAAAAAGAAAGGAAAAAAAAAACTACAAAAAGCTAAAATAAAGTCATAAATGGCAGATACAGAAATAATTATAACAGTGAATACAAATGTGATTTGAAGAAGTGATAACAGATTATAAATAAGTTAAATATAACACATTAATAGAGAACTTCAATGGAGATCCAAGAAGTATATTACTGAATGCTTTAAATATGTAACTACAAATCAAAACAATTTTCACAATTGAAATTCAATGAAAAATTGTTTTCTCTAAAACAATAATATGTATGAGAATAGAGCCGCTTCTAATTTGAAGATTTATTTTAAAGAAATCCTTGTCTTCTGTTGGTAAAGGATACTTAATCCTCTTCCAGTATAATTTTATTGCCTGTTGTGGGCAGGGTACTGAAATACCATGGAATTATTTTCAGAGATGATATATTTGATGTACAACTTGCAACTTACAGAAATGATCACACACCTCATTAGTAGAGTCTCTCTTGGCCCGAGCACGTTCAAAAGAATGAATTTTCTTGGCACTCATCTCATCAGACTCAGCAATGACATAATACCTGGGCGAGTAAGCACGGGACAAGCTTCCAACCAGCCTCAAGATCTCAGTGGTATGTCCACCTAGAAACAAACACAATACGACCAAGGGTTAATAGCACAATGGGGAGGAGCCATTGGAGAGGGAGCTTAGTGGCTAAGGGCTCTTCCTGTTCTTGTGTCTCACACCCATTTTCAGGTAACCCCAGTTCTAGGAAACCTGACCTTTCTTTGCCCTCCACAGGCACCAGGCATCCACATGGTACACATACATATACACAAGCAATTCACTCGTACACATAAAAAAATCTAAGAAAAGAAGGGAGAGGAAATGCAATGAGGACTGGAAAGATGGCTCAATGCTTAAAGATGGTGTACTTCTCTTGTAGAGGACCCAAATTCAGTCCTTGGCACCTGCATTGGGCAACTCAGCTTCAGGAAATCTGATGCTTCTATGGTCACTGGCACACACATGCTAACACTCCTCCCACACACACACTATAAACATAATTAAAATTAAAATATAAGCTGGGTGATGGTAGCACATACCCTCAATCCCCAGCACTCGGAAGGTAGAGACAGGCAGATTTCTGAGTTTGAGGCCAGCCAGGTGTACAAAGAGAGTTCTAAGACAGCCAGGGTTACACAGAGAACCTGTCTCAGAAAAAAACAAACAACCCACAAATAAATATATAAATAACAAAGACACAAAACACACAACCTATTCCCTTATATAAGTACTGCTTTTATATAGATGATAATAAATGCATTAAAAACAGCATTATCACTAAAAAAATGAGATGGTACATGGAAGTATAAGACACTTTGATTTTTAGGAAATCAAGAAAGCTGGAGAGGAAAGGGCAAGATACACACACACTTATAAAGAGAATGCAAGTCCGGGGACGGGGAAAGCCACTAAAATGGGATGACAAAGGGCTATGAAAAAGCAATGCCCTCAAAATAAGAATGACCCTAGAAAAGCTAAGAAGACGAAATATAAAAATGACAGCTGGGAAGACCTTTAGTCAGAGGCAGGATCATTAAGAGCATGGGACAGTGAGATGCGGGCTGTTTTCATGGGGCAAAGGAAACACTGGGTGAAGTGAGGTCAGGCAAGCAGGACGAAGACCAGACAAGGCGCTTTCTGTGTGGAGAAGCAATTTAATGAGCTCTGACATTAGGGTGTGAGCTTGCTGAAGGAAAAGTGTTAGCTACTGCCTCAGGTTCTAACAGAGGTCTCAACACAGAGGTCTTCAACTGCTACCAGTTCTACCAAAGGAGTCTATGTTCCGTTTCTTAAATTTTGCAATCAAAAAAAACATTAACACTTTCTTCTCAAAATCATAACTTTAAAAAGCAACTACAGCCAGGTGTGGTGGCACATGCCTTTAATCAGCACTCAGGAGGCAAACATAGGTGAATCTCTGCAAATTTGAGGCCAGCCTGGTCTACAGAGTGAGTTCCAGGACAGCCAGGCTACACAGAGAAACCCAGTCTCAAATAAACAAAACAATTACGGCGGGGCTGGAGAGATGATGATTCAGCAGTTGAGAGTTCTCCCTGCTCTTGCAGAGGATTGGAGTTCAGCTCTCAGCATTAACATGGGGTAACTCACAACAGCCTACAACTCCAGCTCCAGAAGATATGACACCTCCCACGCCACCCTCCACACACACACACACATACACATTAATAAAACGAAAGAAAAAGAAATCTATTATTTAAAAATCAATTACAGCTGGGCATGATGGTGCATAGCTTTAATCCCAACGCTCCGGGAGGCAGAGGCAGGCAGAGGCAGGCGGATCTCTGAGTTCGAGGCCAGCCTAATCTACAAAGTGAGTCCAGGAAAGCCAAGGCTACCCAGAGAAACCCTGTCTCAAAACAAAACAAAACAAAACAAAACAAAACATCAATTACAGTCATCCCTTTAGTACCTGTGGGATACAGGGTTCTGGGTTCCCCACTGAATCCAAAATCTCCAGGTGCTCAAGTTCTTTACAAATAAATAGTGTCATTTCTATAAATAACCTACACATTTCCTCCTACACATTTTCTTGCTTATTTAATATACTATAAATGCTAGTTAAACAATTAGTATACCGTAGTATTGAAGGAATACTATAGTGTTGAAAAATCTGTGTATCTTCATTACAAATGCATTCTTTCTCAAGTGTTTTGGATCTGAGGATGCAAAACCCACTTCTAGGAAAGAGGCCAACTGCCCCTACCCTGTAGTTTCTTTCAGGAGAACTATCATGACTACAAGGAAAGACTATCTACCTCTAACATCTGAGCTACCCAACCAAACTCCTTATCAGTTGTGTTTCCATTTTATTTCACAAGCTCCTGGGGTCAGCCAGGCCAATCCCTTCACTGTTTGCTTCAGTCTTCCTATTTGTTACATCCTCCTTGCCTCTGGTTATGCTGCCTTTCTTACTTAGAAAGCTCCTTCAGACCATCTCCTTTTGTTCCAAAAATGTGGTTTTACTCACACATGAACACATAGAAAGACAATTATACGAAGTATGTCGGGTTTTCCTCATCCGATACTCTAATGAGAGAAAGACTGTTTTCCCAGGTTCTAGAGTGAATTAGGGAGGATGGGGGTATAGCTGCAGTGTGAACTTCAGGAAGTAGAATCAAATGTTTACTTTATAACTTGCAACCCTTCTTCTTGCTTTATACGCATTTTAGTATTTTTATCTTGGGCCTTGAAAAAGGATTGGACCAAGTAGTTTCCCATCCCTGTCCCCACAAATGGAACAATTAATGATAAAACCTAGTATCCACAATGAAATGGGAGCTTCATAAAACTTGCTGTAATAGTTCCTGTTTGTTTGTTTGTTTGTTTGGTTGGTTGGTTTTTAATGGTTTCTCGGTGTAGCCTTGGCTGCCCTGGACTTGTTTTGTATACCAGGCTGGCCTCAAACTCACAGAGATCCCCCTGCGTCTGCCTCCCGAAGTGCTGGGATTAAAGGCCCACCTTGCCCAGCCTCCCTTCCATTTTTTTAAAGGGAACACTCACTGAACGCACTCACTGCAAATTTAACCTGGCTACTAAGTAAAGTCACTAAAATGATTTACCCGGTAACTAAATAAAGTCATTAAATGATGGACTCTGTCCCTGAGGTTCCATTTCACTCTTTTATTATCTTAGGGGAGGGCAGTGGTTAGGAGCACTTACTGCTCCTCCAGAGAACCTCAGTTTCATTCCCAGTACCTACTTTAAGCTACTCAAAACTACATGTAACTGAAGTTCCAGGGAATCTGATTACCTTTTCTGGCCTCTGTAGGCACGCATGCACATATATATCACTCAAACACACGTGTACATAAATAAAAAAAATATCTTTTTTAAAATAAGAGGGATAAAGTCATTTTAGTAGATGGGTATCTATACGAACATGCAGATATACTCAAATGAAAAACAAATCTTTAAAAGAGAAACATACTGGAGATCATTATTAACTGATAAAATACAATTCCATAGACCTTAAAACACGCCCGGCATCCAATAACTTCTTTATTTTTTTTTAATGTTTAAATGTGTATTTATTGTGTATGAAGGTTTTGTTTGCATTTATACCTGTGTACCATTTGTGTGCCTGGAGACCAAGGAACTTAGAAGAGGATGGAGGATCCTGCCATGCTCTGCACAGCTCCTGACCTAACTGGGTAGTGAGGGAATAAAGAAAAGACAGACATGCAGACACATATACAGAATGGCTGGGATTGCGTGGTCTGGGCTCTCTGATGAAGAAACCGCAGGACCCTAGAAGCTCACAGTGTTTACTCTATACGGCTGAACAGGAAAGCAGGGATATTACAAGGAAACAGGGTTGTTATATACAGTTGGACAAGGAGGCAAGCTTAGCTCTGTAGGAGCAGCCTCTGTAGGGGAGCAGTCTTTTTCAGGGCACGATCGTATCAACAATATTCATCCACTCAGGACTCCACTCAGTCCCTACAGGATCCCTGGGAATTATAGACGCCTGTGAGCCACCATGTGGGTGCTGGAACTCAAACTCTGGTCCTCTGCGAGAACAAAGACTCTTCACTGCTGAGCTATCTCTCCTGCCGTCCAATCACTTCTTTCCTGCCATCTTGCTCCAAGCCACTCTCTCACATAAATTATGAATACAGCTTTATATAGATCACATCCCCACTTCCTCTCCCTTTTCTTCTTGAAGCTATTTTCAACGCTACATCCAGTATGTTCCTTCTAAAAATAACTGATAAATATTTTACTTCTGTTCAAAAAGTCCCCAGTGACTTTGCATCACACTTGAAAAAACTTGGTACTTCTTATATAATTAATACGAGATTTTAGTCCTTCTCTGTGTGGCAACTACTCATTTGTTTCATCTCCTGTTAGCTTTCCTATTTCGTGCACCACAGTATCTCTGCCCTTTTCCTAGTGCTTCTGTGGCAAGTGAGACTTGTTTTGTTTTTTTCTATTTTCAGTTTTTGTTTTTCCCAGAGCTCAGGGTAGTGTCCGGCCTTTCAAAATATAAGTAAGGAAGGAATTATAATTGCATGTAAGTTTGGCATATTTGCTTATATCATAAATATTATTTGTGTGTGTGTATGTAGTCATTTCACATAATATTTTAGTCAATGATAGTATACTTGACTGGTGACAAGAGATTAAATGGGAACTGAACAATCCTTATTGTCTAGTGACACGACTACCATCATAACATAGCCCAAGGTATTCTATGTTTGTAGGGCTTTATAAACAAATTTATTGTGCTGCCTATCTTATAGAAAAGTACAACATACACTATTATATACAGTGCATAACACCTGATAATGATAATATACAACTACATTACTGGTTTATGTATTTTTATTAGCGTGTTCTATTTTTAAAAGTTTACTGTAAAACTGTTTGTCCTTAAAAGAATTTACTGTGTCTCTTGGCTGCATCACGTCCTGTTAGGTTTGATTTATTTTTGTTTTACTGCTCCTGGAGCAACAGGCTATATCATATGTATTCCAGATAGCATTGATGTATAGGATCGGCTGTCACCTTGGTTGTGTAAGTAAAGTCGAGTAGTGCTTGACTATACACTGGTCAAAACTGTTCATTTAAAATTTTAAGTTTTACTTTTTACACAGCTAGTTAGACAGTTTATTGCTCGCACCCCGTCACTCTGAAGGGACTGTTCTACAAAGTGTCCACTTCTTTTTATCTTCAAAGACTTCGCAGATTTATAAGTGCAACAGCTCTGTCTCGTTCACGTTTCTTAAATACAAAAGGCCTAGATTAATAACGCACGGCAGCAAAGAGGGCAACTGTGTATCGACATCAAAAGGCCTCAGCGTACTCCGTCGCTAATTATTTGTTAGAAAGCTGTACACTACAGAGAGGCTTAATTACAGACAAGTAGTAAGGACTTAACTTGTCTTAATGACAAGGCGGCTGGGTGGCGTCAGCTAACCAGCATTTTTCCCTGGCTGGGGTGACCAGTTCCGGAAACGCAGGGAAACTACAAATCTCAGCGTGCACCGCTCCTAAAGGCGCTAAGAAAGCCATAGAGAGTCGCGGTGCACTCTGGGGTTTGCAGTCCCGGACACAGCCCATCGGCCTCCGAATACTTACCGGATCCGGCAACTATCAAGACTCTGAGAGACTCTCGGGGAGTGACGTGAAGGGGTCGAAGCACTTGCCATAGTCGTACCGCCAGCAATATCGCCACGGATACCGCTGCAGCAGCTAGAATCAGAACGCTCACCATTCAAAGGGGCGGTGCATGCGTAGTATTTCCGGAGCCAGTGGTCAAAGTTTACGAGCTGGCAGCTAAACAGCAAACGCGAAGGCTTGCCCCTCTCTTTGGGAGGAGCTTGTCTGCGCTGGGCGGAGCTTGGAGTTGGGCGGTCAAAGTTCAGAAGTGTGCTCCGATTGGGTAACGCAAAGCGACACGTCTTCGTGTCTCGGTGGGCGGAGCTTGTCTGTGGTGGGCGGAGCTAGTTGCAGTTGCCTGAAGCCTGGCCGCATGGGAAGGTTATGACCGTCCTTACCAGGTTTTGTGTCGCAGTTGTGTTGGCCTAAACTGAAATTGGAAAGTTAAGTGCTGGAGAAGTTTGATTTCCGCCAGTGACGAGGTCAGGCTATGTATACCGTGATGCGGGTATACTAATACCCGCATTAGTAACTGCCCCAGCCCTGCCAGCTTTAGACTGAGGCTCAAGGGATCACTTCCTTTTTTCTTCCTACAAAACACACAGAACTGAATTTTCTTCAACCAGTCAGAAGCATGCCCTTAAGGGGAAACCATTCAAATTTGCCCTTTCCCAACATTTCATGTTTTTACTTTTCTAGACAATTTCACAGCTCTTAAACTATGACCAGATCCTTAAAACTATGTCATATTCCTGAAAGAGGCGGAAGCTCCTTGGCTTCAGGTAGCAAGAGAGGAAGTCATAGTCCTGCAGCTAATAGTTAACTTTATATAAAGTATTCCTGGTTACTCTTCCCGCTGTCCACTGAAATGATGGGCTGCTAATGCCCTCTCCAACCCTAGTTGTGCATGCGTTGTGTTTACCTAGCCTAAGGGAGTTACAGCAAAATAAAACCTCTTGACACCATATTTTATTTTCCTTCAGGTTAGATAGGTTAGGCATACGGATGAATAGGCAAGTCCAGAAAGGTGCTACAGCTTGAAATAGTGTCAGGTCTAGAATTAAAAACCAGAAATCCTAATTCCTGCTGCCTAAGAATGCTACAGCATATATTCCTTTGTTAAATTCAATTTTGATTGATTATCATATTTACCTGGAGTCTAGGATGCTTTTGGAAGTGATACAGAAGTTTCAGGAAGGCTCCCTATGATCTTATAAAACCAGGTATGTTGTTCCTGAGTCAGCAGGTAGGCTTGGGAGATTTCCTGACTGTATCTTTATCTTGTCAAGGTCACAACACTTTGCCTGTGGGCTCTTTCATCCATCCCTTTTAACCTCATTCTTTACAATCGGGTCCTAAATAGATGTTATTCTTTGCATTGCAAATAGAGAAATAGATCACACAAAAGTTAATTTGCCTATGGTTACCTCTGTGATGAAAACCCATTGTTGTCGACTTAGAGTCAGTGTCAACTTTGGATGCAATAAGAATGCCATAGATTTAGACTTATATCAAATGGCTCAGGTGCTGGTTCCAGAGGTCCCAGCTTCAACTCCTAGCACCCACATGGTAGCTTACAACCCCTGCCACTCCGGTTCTAGGGGATCTGATACCCTCCTTCCAACCTCTGCAGGCACACACGTGGTGCCCAGGAATAATTCAGGCAAAATGCTCATAAAAACAAAACAAACCCTTAAAAATAAAAGGCAGAGACGCAATTGAAGACAATGTTGACCTCTGACCTCCTCACATGCTCACATGTGCACTCCTGATTATATACACACGTGAATACCCACAAATGAAAAGAGTGGCTCAGGAATGTTTCAAAGTGTTGTTTTCTTCCACCACCTTCTCTGCTGTTCTCCAAAATGGCTTCATGCTTAAAAGAGGATATGAGTGGGAAGACATGGAGTTGTATACCTTAGTTATGTTGTCGTCAGGTCTGTATTAAGGGAAATACATCTTTTCCAAATCCCTCATGGGAGACTTTCTTTCACTCACTTAAGCTGCATTTATATCACCCGTACACAAAAGGAAACAGATCCTTAAGCCGGTGGAGACAGGAATGGAAGGAGACATAAAATTCTGATACGGTATGTGGTCATTGTATGGAGGGTAGGTACAGAGAGAAGCTAAAGGAGAAGGGGTTGTTTTCATAGGCAGTTGTGCTGTTTGGATTGCTGTGAAGATATGTGTTTGTAAGCTGACACCTGTGCAGAAGATGGCAGGCATATACGCTAATTGCATGGCTCCAGGCCCCACGCTCCAGAGCAAGGAAGACTTACTATGGAAAGAATACTATTACACTTCCGTTTCCTCACCCTCCCGTCGCCTCATTACTACAACTCCTATAACTGTGGAAAGTGGAAAAAAAAAATCTAGTTTGACCACAGCTAGGAGAAGTGGACTTTGATAGAATGTGTTGAATATAATCAAGAGGTCAGTAGGCTATCATGGGCTAACTGGGGAAGTTAAGGCTGAGCCAAAAGAAATAGCAACAAGAGTTTTCCTGAGGTGAGTCAAACTGACACATTGATAACAGTTGGTGCTCCAGGAAAGCACAGAAAACATCAGGGTTGGACAAAATGAGTAACATGTGATTCACACCACCCAATGAATTTGTCTTGGGAATGATTATTCTTCAATATGTTCACTGCAGTTTCTTGAGATAGTCTTGGTAGTTCATACACTTGATACCAGCACTTGGGAGGTAGGTAGGGAAAAGAGGATAATGAATTCGAAGTCACTCTCAGTACATGTAAGGTCCATGTGGGCTGCATGAAACTGCTTCTCAAAAATACAGAAAAAAATTATTTCCTATAAACATACTAAAATCTATCATCCTAAAGAAGCTAAACAACAAGGAGGAACCTAAGGAAGATGCTTAATCCTCATTCAGAAGGGCAAACAGGATAGACATCAGAAGTAGAAGACAAGAAACAGGACAGGACCTTGACACAGAGGACCTCAGAAAGACTACCCACCAGCGTATGGAAGCAGATGCTGAGACTGATAGCCAAACTTTGGGCAGAGTGCCAGAATCTTTATGGAAGTAGAGGGGATAGAAAGACCTGGAGGGGACAGGAGCTCCACAAGAAGAGCACAGAACCAAAAAATCTGTGCCCAGAAGGGCCTACAGAGACTGATATTCCAACCAAGCACCATAAATGGAGAGGACCTAGACCCCCCTGTTCAAAGGAAGCCCATAGACTGCTCAGTTTCCAAGTGGGCTCCCTAGTAAGGGGTACAGGGTCTGTCTCTGACATGAACTCAGTGCCTGGCTCTTTGATCACCTCCCCCTGGGGGGTGCAGCTTTGCCAGGCCACAGAGGAAGATGATGCAGCCAGCCTTGATGAGACCTGATAAGCTAGGGTCAAATAGAAGGGAAGAAAGTCCTCCCCTATCAGGGGACTAGAGAAAGGGCATAGAGGGAGAAGAAAGAGGGTTGGTAGGAATGGGAGGAGAACAAGGAAGGGGCTGCAAAGGGGATACAAAGTGAAAAAAATTGAAATAAATAAATAAATAGATAAATAAATAAATAAATAAATGGCATAAATAAATAAAATAGTCACCGCAAAAAAAATTTCCTAAAGCTTCTATAGCAAATATTTATTATTCAGACATATTTTCGAGTTTTTTTTGTTTTTTTTTTTTTTTTTTTTTACAAAGTTGGATTTTTTTTTCACTTTTCTATAGGATTACATGTGTCCATTTAGTCACCATATTTATTAGGCATCCACGAAGGGCTGCAAACTGTTGTAGCAGGGTATGCCATATAAGCAGGACAGTGGACCATGGACCGGAGTACATGCCAGGATGTAGCCAAGGATAGATTTGAAATATATTTTATGTATGAAACTAATAAAATGAATGGATTAGATATTGAAGATGAAAAAAAGAACCAGGGTAACAGCAGATTTTTTTTCTTTGTTTCAAACTTTGTGAGATGGAGGCTTCAGAGTTGGCTCACTGCTCCTGAGGAGGATCAGGGTTCTGTTACCAGCACCCCTATCCAGCCGTTCACAACTGTGTATGTAGCCGCAGCCCCAGGGGATCTGGTGCCTTCTTCTGGCCTGCACAAGAACCTACACACTGGGCACAGTGGCGTACTCCTATAATCCCAGCACTCTGGGAGGCAGAGGCAGGAAGATCGCTGTGAGTTTGAGGACAGCCTGGTCTACAAAGCAAGTCGAGGACAGCCAAAGCTAGAGGACAGCCAAAGCTACAGAGAGAAACCCTCCCTCAAACTCCAACCTCCCCCCCCCCAAAAAAAAGAACCTACACACAAGCATGTACACTAACAAACACAAATAATTTTTTTTTTAAATTAAGAAACCATATTTTTAAAACCCAGGTGAGATGGTGTCATCTAACGGGAGAAAAAGCTTTTGTGGGTGGAGGAAGGTGGAAGAGAATGAAAAATAAGTGGGTTTTTTTTTTTTTTTTTTTTTTGAGTTTAGTTCCAATAGCCTGTTAAGACACCCAAGTACTTACCTGAAATAGGCAGTTTTATGTACAAATCTGAAGCTTGGGTCAGATTGGAGGTATAAATTTAGGGCTCTAATGATGCCTTGTAAACTGTGGAGCTGGCAAGGTCACTGGAGAGTTTAGGTCAGTCCTGTCCAGTACCACTGCCTGTGATGATAGAATTATCTGTATCTGTGTTATACACTTTTTACATGTGCCCATTGAGCACTTGAAATGCTGCTAGTGCAATTGAAGTGACTTTTAATTTTGTCTCGTGTTATTTTAAATTTAAACAGATACAGTTGGCTGGTTGTGTTAGTTGATTCTCTCATGGCTGTGGCAAAATGCCTGATAAATACTACCCAAGGAAGGAAGAGGTTATTCTGGCTTGCTTGCCTGAGGGTAGAGTCCGTTATGGTAGGAAAAGCAGGAAAAGCATGGCAATAGGAGTGTGAGGTCCTGTGCCACTTGCAATCAAGAACCAGAGAGAGATCCTTGCTAGTTCTCACCTTGCTTTCTCTGGTTTATCCAGTTTGGGACTAAGTCCTTGGAATGGTGGCCCCTACAGTCCAGGTGAATCCACAGACACAAGCTTGTGCCTTAGGGGAGTCTAGGTGCTGTGAGGCTGACAACCAATTCTCACACTAGTGGACCCTGTATTGGATAGCACAGGATAGAGTCTGGGGTTGCTGCCTCTTAGAGAAGGAGAAGAGGGTGAGCAATTCAAAGAAATGGAGATGGAAAACTCCTG